GAGGTTGGCAGAGAGGTTAGGGGTAGATAAGTGGATTTGAGAACCATCAGCATAATGATAATAGAATTCAATGAAGCTGATGAAATCATCAAGTGAAATAGTATAGAGAAAAGGGAGAAGAAAAGAGGACCCAGGACAGAGCCCTGTGGAATACTCCATTGGTAGATGTGAGCTAAATGAAGACCAAGCAAAGGAGATGGAGAAGGAATGGTCAGATAGGTAGGAGAAGAACCAGGGGAGAGTATTGTCACACAAAAAAACCTAGAAAGTATCAAGGAGAAGGGGATAACTGACAATGCCTAAGGCTGGGAGAGGTCTAAAAGAATGAGAACTGAGTTATGGAAACACAATCAGGATAACACAAGATTTAGCAGCTTCTACTTTAAGGGATTGGAGGGCTTGGAATATGATGTTCCAGAAGTCAAAGGAGCTAGGATTAAAACTAAGAATCACTTACCCAGCAAAACTGAGTATAATCCTTCAGGGGAAAAAATGGATATCCAATGAAATAGAGGACTTTCAAGCATTCTTGATGAAAAGACCAGAGCTGAATAGAAAATTTGACTTTCATATACAAGACTTAAGAGAAGCATGAAAAAGTAAACAGGAAAGAGAAATCATAAGGGACTTATTAAAGTTGAACTGTTTGCATTCCTACATGGAAAGATGATATTTGTAACTCATGAGACCTTTCTCAGTATTAGGGTAGTTGGAGGGAATATATAGACAGTAGGCACAGGGTGAGTTGAATATGAAGGGATGATATCTAAAAAATAAAATTAAGGGGTGAGAGAGAGGATTGTACTGGGAGGAGAAAAGGAGAGATAGAATAGGGTAAATTATCTGACATAAAAGAGGTAAGAAGTGAGGAGGGAAGTGAGAGGGAATGAGTGAATCTTACTTTCATCAGATTTGGCTTAAGGAGGGAATATAACATACACACTCAATTGGGTATGGAAATCTATCTTACCCTACAGAAAAATAGGGAGGAAAGGGATAAGAGAGCAGGGGGATGATAGAAGGGAGGGGATGATCAGAAGCAAACACTTTTGAGGAGGGACAAGGTCAAAGGAGAGAATAGAATAAATGGGGAGCAGGATAGGATGGAGGGAAATATAGTTAGTCTTTTACAACATGACTACTATGGAAGTATTTTGCATGGCTACACAGGTATAACTTATATTGAATTGCTTGCCTTCTTAGTGAAGGTGGGTGGGGAGTGAGGGAGAGAATTTGGAACTCAAGGTTTTAAAAACAAATGTTAAAAATTGTTTTTATATGCAGCTGGGAAATAAAGTATACAGGCAATGGGGTATAGAAATCAATCTTGCCGTACAGGAAAATAGAAGGGGAAGGCAATAAAGCGGGGTATTGGGGGGATGACAGAAGGTAGTACAGATTAGGGGAAGGGGTATTCAGAATGCATGCCATTGACATGGAGGGAGGGGAGAAATGGGGAGAAATTTTGGAACTCAAAATCTTGTGGAAGTGAATGTTGAAAACTAAAAATAAATTAATTAAATGAAAAATTTAAAAAAAAAAGAATGAGAACTGAGAATAAACCAGTGGGTTTGACAATTAATAGATCATTAACATCTTTGGAGAGAACAGTTTGGTTGAATGATGACAGAAGCCAGACTGTATAGAGCTAAAGAAGAGAGTGAGAGGAGAGAAAATGGAGGCCCCTATTATAGATAGTCTTCTCAAGGAGTTTAGCCACAAAAGGGAGGAGAGATATGAGATAATGACTAGTGAGGAATAATGGATCAAGTAAGGGAGTTATAAAGATAGAGAAGACAAAGGTATGTTCATAAGCAGTAGGGAAGCAGCCAGTAGACAAGGAGAGATAGAAGATCAGTGAGAGAGTGGGGGTGATTTGCAGAAGGCAATTTACAGAAGAAGATCACCTGTGCAGGTAGAGGCATTTGTCTTGGCAAGAATAAGGACTACCTCTTCATGTGACACAGGGAGGAAGAAAGAGATAGTGGCAGAAGGTATCTGGGTGATATGAGACCAGGAGATAGGGAAAGAGAGAGTGGTGAATGGGATAGTAGGTTAATTATGGAGGTATAGCAGGATTGCCTTCCAGCAATGAGGGCCCATTTGAGGTTACAGAACATAGGTTTGTAGGGGACCAGTCAGCACGGTTTTGTGGTTTTCTTCAGCTTAGTTCAACAACACATGTATCGGAACAGGTAGCATCAGTGGTGGGAGTCATCCAAGGCTGAGGCTTGTCAGAGCAAGAGGGGCGGTATAATATCTTATCCCCACCAAGAACAGGAAAGTGTAGTGTTGGGCTGATTCACCAAGGGGTTAAGATGTAGAAGGCAATAGAGCGTAGCTAGTACAGGGGTGATGGCCTGGGAAAGAACTGAGGGGGTTGAAGGATTGGAGGTCACAGGTGGTTGAAGAACAGGGTTTGGGATTGCCAGACAGATGGAGTAAGGGAATGATAATAGATTGTGATCAGATAATTTCAGAGTTCAAGAACATTTATGGGTGACTGAAAGATCCAGGGCATAACCATGTGCCTGAAGGAGGTAGAAGAGTAGATCATGGGAAGTGAATCAACTGAAGAAAGATAATACTAGGGTGTTTGAGGAGGAGTGTATAGATATAAATATATTGAAGTCCTCTCATTTGAAGGCAGAAGTTATAAAGAGGAGAGAAAAACTGTGAGCCAGGAGCTGAATTTGAATTCATTGAGGGAAGAAGGGGAGTATCCTGGAGGTCTGTAGACAAACAGCTACCAGGATTTTAACTGAGTGGTAGATAGGAATTTAGTTAAGTGACTTAAGAAACTCAGTGGCCCTATTGACTCTAGAATCAAATGCTATTTAATCTTTATCTCATCCTTTAAAATTTTTTTGATATTAATTTTGTGGTGAAAATAATTATTGGTACAGTAGTATATATGTCTCATGTATAAATAATGAATATGATTGATTTATTGATTTATGCATATGCATAAGTATGCAGTATTTAAATATACCGGACCTGGAGTCAGGAAGACTCATCTTCCTGATTTCAAATCTAGCCTCAGACACTTATTAATTATGTGATCCTGACCAAGTCATTTAACCCTGTTTGCCTCAGTTTCTTCATCTATAAAATGAGATGGAGAAAGAAATGGCAAACTACTCCAGTACCTTTGCCAAGAAAATCCTAAGTGGGGTCACAGAGTTGGACACGACCGAAAAACAACTGAACAGCATTTAAATATGTAGCATACTTTAAAATGCTGTAATGATGGAGCGCATGAGCAAAACGTTTGGAGACCCCCTGGTCTGGTGAATTGAACAGGGTGGTTCTAATAGACTCTGCTTACCTTTAGAGTCTTTTTCTTTATCTGGCAACGCTCAAGGCAACTATAATGTATTATAACAACTATTTATTAAATATAACTCTAGCCTAGGAAATGGAGTATATAAAATTTATGTAAGAAATGGACCCAGTCTTAAAGGAGTTTTGCTATCAATTAGAAGGCTCAGGGAAGGCTTCATAAAGGAGTTGCACTTTGTAGGAATTCAACTAAGAGAAAAGCTGTTCCCAAGGATAAAGAATAACTTGAGCAAATGTGCCAAGCTGTAAGAATGTTACTCATATTGAGGGGAAAGAGAGATCTATTTTCTTTGTGAAGCTTTGGCCAAATTACTCTTGTCCTCTATTATTTATTTTAATCGTATATTGGTAATCAGTGTAATTGGTTTTCATTTTCTGTAAGCATTTTTACTATATCTGAACATCTCTTCCCTCTTACCTCACTTTTTATTTATTTTTTTCCCCAATTTTATTAATTTATTGATTTATTAACAATCACTCCCATATGCTTTTGAGTTGAAAATTATTCTCCCCCTTCCTCCTCCCCCAAGACAGCACACAATCTGATATAGGTTTTACATTTACATTTCTATTAAACATATTTTCACATTAGCGAAGTTGTAAGTAAAAATTAAAACCAATAGGAGGAACCATCAGAAAGATGAAACAAAACTCAAAAGAAGGTAAAAATAAGTGATAGGGATTCAACTTCCATAGTTCTTTCTTTGGATGTGGATAGCATTTTCCATCCCGAGGCCTCTGGAGATGTCTTAGATCCTTGTAATGCTGAGAAGGGTTCAGTTTAACAATATTAGTCATCGCATAACATGGCTGTTATTGTGTACAAAGTGCTCTTGGTTCTGCTCACTTCACTCAGCATCAGACCATATATTACTTCACTTTTTAAAAAAATTAGATGACAAGTTAATTATAAAACTCTTACCTATTCCTCTCTCTAAAGGCTGTAACTAAGATGGGGCAACTGGAGCTTTGCTTTAGGATTTTGAAATATAGAGGGTGCTGATAGCATTTGCATTAGAAACAACTGAGTTTAGCACCTAATAATAATTGGTAAAAATAAGAAATTGGCATATGGAGTACTTCCTGCTCCTGCCGCTACACCAAAGGTACCTAACCTTGCCTTACTCCATTCCTTCCCCCTCACTGAACTCCTGTTAACCTCTTAGTGAACCAGATTTCTGTCTCTCCCCTACACACCATTAGGGGGCAGTATCCTAGGCTTGCTGTCTCTCCAGCCTTGTCATACAGTCGCAGCTGTCTACCTAGCACCCACCTTCACTCTTAAATTTACCTTCAAAAGTTGATTTCAATATGTCTTTTATACTGTTTGCCTCAGGGCATGTTTTAGGGGGCACTAAAATTTCTATTTACTACTCTGCCTTACCCTTCTTTTATTACAGGTTATTTCATGGTAATCACAAATGACTTTTAAATATGTTTTTATAACTTGTTCCAATAAAACAATCACCCTTTTCACTGAGTTAATATCTTAATGGCCCTGTCCTTTCAGCAAGAGAATTAATCTGAGGGGACATATAAGACAATCCAAGATAGTATAGGATGAAAGAACGGGTTGCAGCTAGGGTGGACATGTGTTTTATGTGATTTCTTTATGAATATAAAACTGAGTTTCAGTCCCTTTATGCCTTATTATCTAGAAAACAACAACTGGCAACAGATTTCAACAGGAGAAGAATTCTAAGACACTACTTTACACAATGGCAGCACTTATATAGAAAAGAAACTGGAAGGAGACAGCTAGAATTGAAAAAAGAAGAAACTCGGAAGAAAATGGATGAGTTGCTGAAGGCAGCATCCCTAGGGAAGCTTAGTTCAAATGGATTTTGTGACATATTAAATAGGGAAAAAAGGAAGTCTCAAAATCCATCTACAAGAAAAGAAGAGGTATTTTTTTTGCCCATTTATTTTGTTTTTTTGTATTTAAATTCTGCCTTTATGTGACAGGTGTGTATGGTACCTGGAAGTCCAGGTCAGTTACCTTAGGAAATCCTTTCAACATTTAACGAAAGATTCCAGATTGCTTTGCCTAGTTCTCTTAAAAATGAAAGTGGTCTTATTTAAGATATTTAAATTGTTTAAGGTATTTCAATTCACTGAAAACATTGTTAAATTGTTAATTTCTTGGACTTAATCATCTCCAAAAACCTGAAACCAACAAGAGAAAATTTCATCAGCAAAGGGTAATGCTGTAAAAAAAAAATAAGGCAAATGAAAATAAAAGGTTATAATATCTACATTGGTAACCAAAGAAACCGTAATATTCTCCCAGGTGAAGAATATAACACGCACCAATGAGAATGTGGAATCTTTAGATGTTCATTAATTATGTAATTATAGGCATTGGTTTACTAAGAACACTTAAGTATACTAAGAATATTGTGCTTTGAAAATGTTCAAAATTATCAGTTGGAAGGCGGGTAATTTCCTCTAATTAAGCCAGATTGCTTGGCCTTGTATTATTAAGAACAATCTGTACCATTATGTCTTTTTTTTTTTTAATTCTTAGCTTTACAACTAAAAAAGTCACTATAATCCAAGAGAAATCTTGTGGCTGTACTTCAAGCTTTTACTCAGTCTTGCTGAGTTAATAATATGTCATTACTGCAGAGTTTAAAAGAACCCTAAAACACAAACTCAGCTTGTTGCTAAATTATGTGAACAGGTGTCACTGTTCCTAGGAATAACTATCCTCTGACATTTCTGAAATGAAAAGTCACATGTAAAGGTCTGAATCACATGGTCAATTTCCAGATAGCACATCTTTTTACCTCATTTGAGTCTTCAGAAAAGACCCATCAAAAAAATTTTTAAGCATGGGGCGTGGCAGCAGAATGATTAGAAACCCCTTTGTAATCTAAGGCAGTTTATTGTTTCCTGCTTTTCTCTCACTACATCAGACTGCAGATACGAAAGCTGCTCAGACCTTGGACTTTGTGCAATCAAAGCATTTTTGAAGGACAACTTTAATTACTAGATTATTTTGGCAGTAGATAAATTCACTAGGGAGATTTTCTTTCCTTTCCTTCCACCCTCTTCCTGGAACTAAATCTGAAAGCCCCAAGCTTTTGAATGAGATAATACACGTAAAGGTGTTTGACACACATAAAGCACCATGAAAGCATACTATTAAATACCATGGTTACATGATAGACATGCTGAGTTAGCCACCTCTGGCTGAAAAACAGATGATTTAAAAGAATGGGGAGGCAGTTGATAGAACGAAAAGAATTGTAGATTTGGAGTTAGGACCTGGCTTGAAATTTTGGCTTTGTCACAGACTACCTGCCTGACTTTGAGCAAGTCACTCAACCTGTCTGGGCCTTATTTTCTCCATTTGTAGAATGGAGACATTGCACCTGAACAATCTCTAAGCTTCCTTCCATTTCTAAATCTTGAATCTTAAGTCTGCAGATCCCAGTGACCCCAAGCTTTAGACACATATCCTCCTATTCCTGAGGACTCTCATTCCCCCAGAATGTCAGTCTACTTTACGGTAAATTTGTAATTTTTCAGTAGCTTCACTTGCCCCCGTCCCCAACTTTGACATGTTGTTGTAGTTTAATGATTCATTAATTCCTTAGAATCCCTTGCCCCATTAAACTTATGTCATTCCCAACCTTTGAATCCTCATTTTGTGTGACTCCCACCATCTGATTTCTTACCTTTGGTTCCAGGACTGCTGAGCATCAATAGAAATAATTGCAGAAGGAAGATGACTTCACCTACTGTACCCTCATGTCATATAACCTCATCTTGGCCCTTGATCCTGGTCCACAATCCTCTTACTCTGCCTTTATGGACTGTCTCTGTGACTCATTCCCCAAACCTTCTGTTCCAAACTCTTCTTTCCTCTCCTTCTGACCCTAAGCCTGCCCTCCCTTTCTCTCACATTTAGAGAAGACAACTTCACTAAGAAAACTGAGGCAATCCCCAGCCTACCTCCTCCTGTCCTCAAAATTTCTCAAAACCATCACCTATTCCCTCTTTCCCTTTGGTCATAGAAGAAAATATACTTCTGTTTTTTCACTAACCCTTTAAGCCCCTTCCTTCCCATCTCTTCCTTCCAGAAGCTCTCTCCTCACTTTCATAGATCATCAATATTTCAAGTCTTCCCTTGACCCTTCTTAGCTCAAGCAGCCACTGTCCCATTTCTCTTCTCACTGCCAAACTTCTTGAAAAAAAAATTGTCTCTACTCAACTTCATCACTTACTTTCTCTTCAGCCTATTGCAGTCTGGTTTCTTGCACTCTTCACTCTGCTGAAGCTGCTTTCACTGAAGACATCTTAATCACCAAATTCACTGACCTTTCTTCAGTTCTCAAATACCTTGACCTCTTGGCAGCTTTTAAAACTGATGCATTTTGAAAGGCACCCTGATGAAGTGGTAAGAATGCCGAACTTAGATTCAGGAGAGACCTGCATTTGAATCCCACCTCTGACACTTACTGGCTGTGACCCCAAGAAAGTCACTTCATCTCTGTAAACCTCAGTTTCCTCATCTATAATATGAGTAATATACATTAGTATTTCTGTGGTATCCTCTCCGGCTTGTGTTGAAATTTAAATACAATCATATATGAAAAACATTTTGTGAACCTTAAAGTGCCATGAAAATATCAGCTACTAATAAACTCCTTCCCTAAGGCTAGAGACCAAGCTAGAAATTTTATGGAATGGTACCCTCTCCCCACACGCAGCAACAGGAAACTGAAAAGATAGCCTCCTGTTGCTGAGGATATACATGTGCATATATGTATATATCTGCATACACACACACATGCATGTGTATATATGTACGTACATATATACATACATACATACATACATACATACATACATACATAGATATACATGCAACACAGAGGTCAGGCTTGTAGCTCCAGCTGCCTCAGGATGTTTTCACATTGATAGTCCACTTGTACCTCAAACTCTGCATAACCCAAGTTTCAATATACTTAGAAGAGGGAGCCTTCCATCTTGACGTACACATCTCCTGCCTGTTCTACATGGGTTTACTACCTGATCTCTCACTTCTCTTGGGATTGTGATTTAGAGAGGTGGCCACCATCATATCCCGTGTTTCTCCTGCCTAGTCTCTCCAGCCATCTGTGGGAAAGGGAAAAGCGCCATTCCATCTTATCAGTCACCTGTTATCAAGGTAAGGGGAAAGGGTATCATTCCATCAGATTTCCAGCCTGGTTTCCTGCCTCAAGGAAGGAGATCATCACCATTGCTTCTGTTCCAAGTTCCTGCTTCCTCACCTGAGCTACCCAGGGCTCTTTTCACCCTTAGGTCATACTATTGACTTTGAAAATCTCTCTAAATTTTTCACTTAATTATTAACAAACTTTCAAATGGTCATACTCTCTATATCCCAGTGATTCTGAACCCCTATAGGTCTACATTCCCCATCCCCCATTATCCAATTCCTTATTCCCAGTTGCCTCAACCTCCTCCCCAAAGTCCCAGCCAGATACTACTCATATGTACCTTTAAATGTGCCTTCTTGAATGCCTACTCCCTAAGAAATAAACTTGATTTCCTCATAAATCTTTTTCCTTTCCCATTCCTTCCATCTTTTGGCTCTCACTGAGACCTGGCTCCCTCCTAATGACGTACCCTTACTGGCCCTTTGCAGCACTGGCTGCATTTTCATTCATTCCCCTCAAATTCACTAGTTGAGGTGGAGGAGTTGGAATATTCCTTGTTCTCCATTGCCACTTTCAGTTTTTCCACTTATCATCATCACTCAGTAACCTTTCCTCATTTGAGGTCCATACAATCCATACCTATTACCTGATCAAAATCCTGGTAACTGTTATCTTCAGACCACCAAGACACTCTCCTTCCTTCCTCAATGACTTCAGTACCAGACACAATCTTTCTCTCCTCCCCAACTTCCTCATGCTAGGAGATTTCAACATATATATTGATACATCCTCAAATTCCTGAACATACAAGTTCTTCAACCAACTGATTTCCCACTTTAAATACCCACAAAGCTGATCATACTTTAGATCTTTCAGTCACCCACAAACGCACCTCCTTCATGTTTATGGACTCTGAAATTCCCTTATCTGATCACAATCTATTAGCTTTTCCACCAAGGCTATGCCTTCTCATATCAAACTCTGCTTGTCCGGCACACTGCAACCTCTAATCCCTCAAACCATCAGCTCTGAGGCCATCACCCCTACACTAGCCACACTCTCTTCCTTTCCCTATTGTGACTGCTTGGTGAACCAGTTCAACATTTCTTTTCAGTCTCTTGCCTCTTTATTATATCACCAATTGTGCCCTGTCAAGTCTCAGCCTTGGATGACTCCCACCTTTCACTGCCTTCACTCCTACACAGGTGCTTCTGAATGAAGCTAGAGAAAATCATGCAACCATTCTATCTGAGTCCATTACACAATTCATGTTACATGACGTCAACTAGGCCCACACTGCTGCTAGGAAATCTTTCTACATTTCAGCAATTAACTCACTATTCCATTGACCACAGTGGCTCTTCCAGACATTTCTTTCCTTCTCAAAACATCCCACAACTACTCCTCCCCACACTCAGCTGAGAATCTTGCCCCCTATTTTAAATAGTATTTTTATCAATTACATATAAGGACAAATTTAACATTCTTTTTTATATAAAATTTTGAGTTCCAAATTTTCTCCCTCCCTCTCCTTCTTCCTCTCTAAGATGGTAAGAAATTTGATATAGGTTATATATGTGCGACTATGTAAAACATATATCCACATTAGTCATGCTTTGAAAGAAGAAACAGAACAAAAGGAAAAAACCACCAAAAAATAAATTGAAAATAATATGCTTTGATCTTTATTCAGATTCCATCAGTTCTTTCTTTGGATGTAGATAGCATTTCCCATCCTGAGTCTTCTGGACTTGTCTTGGATCATTGTATTGCTGTGAAGAGCTAAGTCAATCATAGTTGATCATCCCACAACGTTCTTGCCCCATATTTTAGTGAAAAAATTGAGGCCATTCACCAAGAGCTCCCTTTTCTCCCCTCCTCTTCATCTCATATCATCCCTCAGGTGTCTTCTTGCCACTCTCACCTCCTTCACTTTTGTCTCACAAAATGGATGGTCCTTCTCTTGGCTGAAGTTAACCTTTCTAACCTGCACAAGCAATCTCACTCCATACCATCTTGTCCAGCAGATATCCCTCTCTGTCATCCTCATTCTCTTAGCTTCAGCCTCTCCCTGTCTGCTGGCTGCTTCCCTACTGCCTATAAACATAGCCGTGTGTCACCGATCCTTAAAAAACCCTCAGTTGATCCATTTCCATTATTGTTTGACCTCTCTCCTGACTTTTGTGGCTAAAACTGAGAAGGCTGCCTAAGTGCCTTCACTTCTCCTCTCACTCTCTTCTTAACCCTCTACAGTCAGGCTTCTGACTTCATTATTCAACTGAAACGCCTTCCAAAGTTACCAGTGGGCTCTTAATTGTCAAATCCATTGGCCTTTTCTCCAGCCTCGCCCTTCTTGACTCTTCTGAAACATTGGACACTGTCACTCTCTTCTCCTTGATACTTACTCTATGTTTTGTGACACCACTTTCTTTAGGTTTTCCTCCTACCTATCTGACCGCTCCTCGGCCTCCTTTGCCAGATGTTCGTCCAGGTCATGCCTGTTAATCTCGGGTGTCCCACAGGGCTCTGTTCTGGACTCTCTTGTCCTTTTAAACTACTTCACTTAATGATCCCATCAGCTCCTGTGGATTTAATGATCATCTCTGTGCTGATGATTCTCAAATCTACTTATCCATCCCTAAATTCTGCACTGACCTCTAGTCTCAATATTCAACTGCTTTGTAGACATTTCAAACTATCCAGTTTTAACTATTGTGTAGACAAACAATATGTCCAAAACAGAATTCATTATCTTTCCCCAAAAACCCTCCCCACTTTCAAACTTCCCTGTTACTATCAAAGGCCCCATTATCCAGTACTTCAGATTTGCAACCTTGGTGTCATCTTCAGCTCCTGACTCTCTCTTAACTGTCATATCCAATCTGTTGCCAAGGTCCATCGATTTTATTTTTGTAGTGTCTTTTAAATAAACTCCCTTAATCCTCTGATATTGCCACCACTACGGTGCAGAGCCATATCTCCTCAAGCCTAGCCCCCTGCAACAGCCTGATGGTTATTCTACCTGCCACAAATCTCTCCCTACACCAGTCTATTGTCCATTCATCCACCAAAATGATTTTCCTATACAGATCTGACCTTGTTACCCTACCCCTCCCACCTCACTCAATAATCTCCCATGGCTCCCTAGCACCTCCAGAATTAAGTATAAAATCATCTGGTATTCAAAGCCCTTCATACCTGCCCCCTTCTACCTCTCTAGTCATTTTATACCTCATATCCCACCACTTGCTCTTTGATCCAGTGATGCTGGCCTGCTTCCTGTTTCTCAAACAAGGCACTCCATCTCCTGACTCCAGGCATTTTTATGGCTGTCGCCCATGCCTGCAATGTTCTCCCTCCTCATCTCCACCTCCTGGCTTCCCTGGCTTCCTTCAAGTCCCAGCTAAAATCCTACCTTCAGGGCAGCTAGGTGGTGCAGTGGATAGACCACCAACCCTGGATTCAGGAGGACCTGAGTTCAAATCCAGCCTCAGACACGTAACACTTACTAGCTGTGTGACCCTGGACAACTCACTTAACCCCATTGCCTGTCCTAAAAAAATAAATAAGTAAAAAATAAAATAAAATCCTGCCTTCTATAGGAAACCTTTACAATACCTCTCATTTCTCATGCCTCACCTCTGTTGATTATTTCCTGTTTATCTTGTCTACGTCATGTTTGCACGTAGTTTTTTAGATGCTTTCTCCCCCATTAGGTTGTGAACTCTTCAAGGACAGGAATTGTCTTTTGCCTTTCTATGTGTCCCCATCACATAGCACAGTGTTTGGCACACAGCAGGTGCTTAGTAAATGCTTATCCACTAACTGACCTCACCCAAACCCATTATGTCTTCCAATTTCACTATTTCTCTGTGGGACCACCATTGTATCCTGTCTGTCATGTCCGTAATATTTGATCTTTCCCTCTCGCTCAACTTCTTATTTCTAAGCAGTTATTGAATTCTGTAGATCCTGTCTCTGAAATGTCCCTTCCATCAGTTGCTCTCCTCTTCCATTTCCACTGCCACTCCCCTGACACGGGTCCTCATTACCAGCCACTGAGAATACTGCTACTGCCTCCTGACACATCTTCTGCCTTCATTTTCTCCACTTCCCTTCTAACCTGTCCTTCATACTGCTGCCAGGATAAGCTTTAATAAATGTAGTTCTGGTCTTGTCACTTTTCAACTCAAAAATCTTCAGTGCCTTCCTATCCAGAACCCCTGGGTAAAGCTTACAATCCTTTGTCTGACTGTTAAGGTCCTGGCACCACCCTATCACCCCCGGCTTGACTCTTCTGCTCCCCTCCACCTTCTCTGTTCCCCAACCAAACTAGGGTACTTTCAGCCACCAAGAATACCATTCACTCTCTTGCCTCCGTGCCTTCTATCACATTGCTCCCAATGCCTGCAATACTTTAACAGCTGAATTATTATCTGTCTTTTAAAGCATAACTCAAATGCCATCACTTCTGTGAAGGCTCCCCTTCTTCTGCTGGATCAATAATAGCCTTCCCCTCTAGCCCAACATAACCCTTTGTTTTATAATTCCCCAAGGTTCTTACATTATACAAGTATTACGTAATAATAGTTATCCATATTTTTATCTTATTTCCCCTCCTAGACTGCAAGGTCCTTAAGGGTAGGGGCAGTGTTTTAGCTAAGCTTTTTTAATTCCACAGCATATACAAGAGGTATTTAGCAAATGTGTGTTGAATAAATGAATGTTAGAACCAAAAAGCAAAGATTTTTTTAGCTTTAAAATATTTTAGAGGAAAAAAATCATTAAGTTACCAATTTACTGCCAAATATCGGTAACCATATGACACATTCAGACATGGCACTATGATGACAGTGGGACAATGTACATAATAAAACTCCTGCGACTTTGTATGTGGAGTTACCCCATCTCATTCTCTTGTGTCCATGCCAAAACAAATAAGTACAAATACTGGTTTTGATTGAATGTGTCCTTTTTCATATGTGAAGGTGACACCACAACTGACCTGGTAACGGATTTGCAATGATCCCTCTCTATTCTCCTGTATCCCTTTTGTAACTTATTTGAATAATGGCTTGCCCAGGATTAGGGAGATAGCCAGAGAAAGCTGATTGGGGTCAATGGTACAACATGGGAAACAGAGGAATGGAGCTAAAGGCACATGCTCTGTGGCACCTGAACAAAGCAATGCCTACTGGCGTAAATGTATTATCTCATTAGTGTCAAATGAACTGCAGCGTGATCTTCTCTTTCAGGTGCCTGTGACCTTTTCCCGAGAAAAGCCTTCTGGGAGTGAAGGTTCCATAAGCAGTCCTCCTTTATGCAAAAAACCCAAATCTGTCATCCAAGTTCCCATACAGCAAGCCCCTCCAAACTCCCCAGAGCTTCCTCACTCCAATACCCCAAGTTGTGAGTCCTTGCATCAGATTTGCAGCGGTCAGCAATCCAGAACTCCCAGCCAGAAATCTGTGTCCCCTTACATGGGCCATTTCCACAACCGCCACATTTTCCAGCAGCAAGTAATTGAAGAGCAAAAGAAGAAACTCCAGGAACAAAAGAAAATTATCCTTGAGCTACAGTTAAACCAGAGGCTAAGAGAGGCAAGAGAAGAGGCCGAGAGGGCCACAGCCGTGACTGCAGCCCTCACCCGGCTGATGTCAAACCCCAGAGAGGAGAAGATGAAGAAGGGGTGCCACATCCTATCAAAGTATGTCAAATGATTAGGGCACAGCCTAACTAGGTCACCTGGGTTTTGACTAGAGGCTGGTTTCAATTTGTGATATTTCTATCTACAAAATCTCCTCTTTCTTCGGAACTTTCAGAAGAAGCAAATGCCCTTCTCTTTTCCCAGAACCTCAGAATTCATGTTCCCTTCCCTCTCTCTGTCCCTCCCTTCTGCTTGGACTGGGAAATGAGAACCCTGTATAAGCTCAGCATCAACATCCCTCATTACATCAGTTTATAGGATGGGCCCCATAATCGTCACATTATTGTTTAGGGTAAAGATTAGCTAAAGTTTACCAAATGCTTTGAGATCACCAGCCGAATGGTTTTAGGAGAACTCATTATTAAATCTTAACATGTGTGTTTTTCTTTACAGTTCACCTGGTCCATCCTCTGGGATTGACAGCCCTAAGGCTGATTCTCAGAGTCCACTTAATGCATCCAGAAAGAAGTCAAAGCAGTTGCTAACACCTCACCCCATTCTGAAAGGCAGGACTCTTTTTTTTTTTCTCATAGAATGTCTTGACTAAGTGTCTGCTAACTTTTAAGACCTTTTTTTTGGCTCTTCTAAGTTGACTTTATTTACATTGTTGTAATTATTGTGATATATTGCTCTCTTGACTCTGCTTTCTTCACTCCATATCACTTCACACAAATCTTCCCATGTTTCACATTAGCTGTTCTTTCTCCTGACTACTCCCTAACTACCACCTTAGAAGAGCCTTCAGGCCAAAGTCCAAGATTTCAAGAGGCATTATGGTTGATTGGGAAGAGCACTCACTGCATTTGGAGTCAGAGTTCCTGAGTGTGCATCCCAGCTCTGCTCCTTTACTCCTTGTATGACCTTGAGTACCTTAACCTGTCTTGCCTTAGTTTGCTCATCTGCAAAATGGTAGGATTGGATTGTAGATGGCCCCTAAGGTACCTTCCAGCTCTAGATCTATGAGAATTCAATTTTAATTTACCTGACTCTCTTGTTCCCTTCCACCACGCCAAAGACCCTGAAGATCTTGAACCCTATTCTCTTAGGAAAGGGACAGAGGTCAGAATACTTAAGATGGAAAGGGACAGCTCTGTAGGATGACACAAGGCTGAGAATCATATGATAGAAGAACTACTACCTGTGATTAAAACACCTGGATTTGACAAGTCTCACCTCCTTCACTTATTAGCCTTGTGATTTTCCACAGGTCACTTAACTTCCCCCCAAAGTTCAGGAGTTTGTAGGATCTCATCAGACCAGTTCTGGTAACCCTTGATCCCCTCAGAAACCACTGGTAAATTTGATTCATCAATTTTTGGCCCAAAACACACTTTTGTAATAAGTTTATGACTGAAAAATGGTACATTTATACAAATGAGAATAACCTCAGTACCTACACAGATAAAAACTGGTCAAGATTGGCATCACAGGGGCAGCTAGGTGGTGCAGTGGATAGAGCACCGGCCCTGGATTCAGGAGGACCTGAGTTCAAATCCGGCCTCAGACACGTAACTCTTACTAGCTGTGTGACCCTGGGCAAGTCACTTAACCCCATTGCCTAGCCAAACCAAAAAACAAAACAAAAAAAAGATTGGCATCACACCAGAATCAAAATATCAATCAGATTATGATGATTATCAAAATTAGAGCATTACAGGATTTTATATTTCACAAAATTCTGGGGCTTCACATGGGTATTCTATGATTTTATTGTGGTTGGACTAACCACTTGTTGACTGGGGCAACTAGGTGGCTCAGTGGATAGAATGCCAGGCCAGGAGTCAGGAAGACCTGAATTCAAATCTGGCCTCAGAGACTTACTAGCTTTGTGACCCTGAGCAAAACACTTAACCCTGTTTGCCTCAGTTTCTTATCTATAAAAGGAGCTAGAGGAGGAAATGGCAAGCCACTCTAGTATCTTTGCCAAGAAAACCTCAAATGGGATCATGAAGAGTTGGACGTGACTGAAATGACCAAACAAGAAGTGTCTTACAGGATTTTATATTCTGCGAAATTCTGAGGCTTCAGATGGGCATTCTATAATTATGTAGTTATTAGGTTACTGATTTTTAAACATTGTTATGGAATTAAAGCCATGACAGGCATTGTGGGCAGTCTTTCCAATGTGATTCCTTGACTCCCTGCCATTCTCTGCCCATTTTAGTCTGAGTAATTAGGAAGTATCTCGTTGAGCACTTTGGGAATACAAAAACTCTTGATGTGTGTTTTTTTAAGTATTGTTTTAAGAGTTAACATCTTTTTAGTGTTTTGGGACCAGAGCAGCTTTTTAAGAGTAGCCCTCTATTTTTAGCTCAAGATAGAAAGGAAGAGAGAGCACATTATTAGAGACTTAATGCTTTTTAATGGTTCACCTTTGTCATGTCATATATTTGCTTACTCAAAAAAGTTCTTTCCCTCAATCTGCAGCAGCGTCCCCATCCCTCCTTTAGAAAGATAGGTGCTCACTATGCATTCATTTCCCTGTGTTTATACCAGTGTGGTATTGGCCTGTAAATCTTCCCACCATGTAGTAAAGATTTAAATTTTTGATCACTCTTAAAGGCAGAACCAGAAATGTTCTGTGTACCAGGTGAGGGTTGTTTTTTTTGTTTGTTTGTTTCATTTTTTGCTTATTTTTAACTTGTACTGGGATTTATTCGACCAAACTTATGGCAGAACCTCATTTCTAAAACTCTTTTGTTGGTGGCATGGCCAAAGAAACTGAAATCTGCAATCAACTGGCAGAGGTGAAGAGTGTCTGGAACTCCCCCCTTGTACCATGAAAGCCTAATTGATGACAGATTTCTGTTAGCAGAGCTTCTTACACATTTTACTTTTTTTGGCTAGATATTTAGTAGACTGGCAAGATGAGACCAACAGTCAACATCTTTCAGATGCCAGTTTTCTAAATGTCTGGTACAATTCCATTCCCTGCACCCATCTGGGTAATCTGAAACATAAAATTGGATTAAAATATAATTGTCATGACCCTAGAGTTCTTTATCTATCTCTCTCCCTCTCCCTTTCTCTCTCATACACAAACAGATACACATACATGTTTTAGGATCTCATCAGTCAAGTTCTGGTAACCCTTCATCCCTCCAGAAATCACTGATAAATTTTTGCTATGCACACATGGACAAAGTTGCTATAATTATGTGCAAATTGAGAAGAACAATTAGCAAGCTCACTAGTTGGCGATTTGAGGGATGAGGTAGGATATAGGGTTCTAGTTGTTTCTGTGTGCTGTAGTCATTTTGTTTAATTGAATCTCTGTCTTTTGATCAGAGGTATTACCGCATGAAAATGTCAGGCCTAGTATGAGAAAAAGGCCAGTAAAAATCAAAGGTACTTGTGAAAACACAAATAGGTTTTATATGCAGGACCTATAATCGAGTTGCAGACTCTTACTTTAACCATTAATGAAATTTAAACAGGAAAACAATACATTTTTCTAATTGTTCTTCTGTAGCACAGATGTATATAGAAACTTATACAAATGCATGTTTGAAATACATATATATGTGTTACATGTGTATATACATACATGTATATATACATATATAATATATACATATGTATATAAGAAATCTGAAGAAAGAAATATCTCTTATAATGTAAAGTGGAGGCCTTTATTTTGTATGAAATATTGAAATTCTATGTTACTGTTTTCCAGCCATGGAGGAGAGAGCTGCTCAGAGGAGTGAACGTAAGAAAGTCTTAGCAGAGATCAAGAAAAAACAAGAAGAAGAGAAATTGGTAATGAAAATGGAAGGCTACTTGGGACAAAGAAAGGAGTATGTAGGGTTTTAAAATGAAAAACAGCTTTGTTTGCTTATCAGGCTTTTAGAGACAATGATGTTTAGGCTGGCTTTGGAAATAAAATCTAGCTTAGAAACAAGGTAGCAACATATTGGCCAACCAGAAAAGACTGCTAATTCCATTAATTTTGTTAATAATAAAATGTACTTTAAGTAGGAGGAAACTACTAAATGAATGTTAGGAAATTTGAGGAATATAATTTATAAGATTGCATTAGTTCACATGTTATAGCTAAACATACCCTTGTTAAGAACCCCTGACATAAGAGATTTGCTCTACCACGATCATAGCTGAAGGGTGATTACCACACATATCCTGGTGCTGTGAGCCAAGGGAGGCCTGTAACAGGAAAGCCTATGTATGTGCCAAGAGAAAAGGAACATCTCTTAAAGACAAGTTTCTTGGTAAAATGAAATGATAATGATAGGCTGACAGATTTAGAGTAAGTAATAACTACACATCATTGAAAACCAGAGTCTCCAAAAAATTAAAATTGTCAGTCACCAAAAGGGCAATGGACAGGGCTATGGTGGGCATGAATAGGTTGTAGCACATCATGAAGAATTGTGGGACTGAAGAATTATAAAGGATGTCATCAGAGTAATAAGTAACCAAATAAGACTGTTTCCTGAGAGCCACAGGAAGATCAGAGGGAAATCCTACATATGTGGTTGGCCTCTATGCGATGTTAATGATCTGTGGCCCCCAGCACACTAGATTTGTGTTGGAGGAATTGCCATATGGATGACACAACAAATCTCCTTAAATAAAAGGAAACATTTTTTATACAGAATATAAGTCAGATTCTGAAAGTCATAGGTAAAAAGCTGTGAAAGTGCATAGTTTTTGACCAAAAATTAATTGTCCAAGAGCATAAATTGATCCTTTCAGAAAGAAAGCCACTTTTCACTCCCATGATGACATTAAACATATCACTTTGTTGCTCCCTTTATATTAAGTAGGTTTCTCAGGTCTCTTTTAGTTCTAAATCTTATTATAATTTTATAAGTGTAGGCTTCTCTCAGAGACAGTGGAAGAAGCAGGGAAATGATTTTTCCAGTCTAATAAATCCAATTTCTTTGCAAAGGTCACAGGTAAAAAATTGGGGAATCTGGTTCTTTCTATGTATTTTCCCCTTAAAAAGGCTCAATTGAAGGCTCAAGAAGAAGCACGTCAGAGAAAAGAAGCAGAAGAAAAAGAGATCCAACTTGAAAAGAGGCGAGAAGAAAAAAGACTGAAGAAAATGGTGAGTGGAGCATAGCCATCAATCAGTATTTATTGAGGACTTCTGTGTCCTCATATAACCAATATAACATATAAGAATGAGGAACTTCAAAGAAAAACAGAAATAAAAGATGTCGGGGGCAGCTGGGGGGGCAGTGGACAGAGCACCGGCCCTGAAGTCAGGAAGACCCGAGTTCAAATCCGGACTCAGACCAAACACTTGACACTTACTAGCTGTGTGACCTAAGGCAAGCCACTTAACTCCAACTGCCTAAGCAAAAAAAAAAAAGAAAAGAAATAAAAGATGTCATCAGGGAATGTGTTATAGTTAGAGGAGAAGGCTGGTTCTATGGCCAAAGGGAAGAGTAATAGATGGATAGCCAGAGTACTCTACTGCTATCCTCATAATGTCAGGGGGAATTGTGGAAGGCCTCAACTAAGGAATTATTCAGGAAATGTGCTTAAAGAAATATGTGACCAGAAAGAAAAGAAAGATAGGCAGGTAGCAAGAGTGAAGGCATAAACCATAGAGAGTTCACAAGCTCCCTTGGCTTCCACACAATGTCGGGAAATGTAGGGGAAGGCTGCCTGAGTGGAGCTGCTGTGGCAGATTTATGGGAGGGCATGGACAAGGAATAGATGGATTACCATTTGAATCAATAGAGTGACTACAGCATCAATGGAATCCCCGAGCCATTGGAGTATTTGCTCCCTTATGGTCGGTTGGTTGGTTGTTGTCCTTCTTTCTCAAAGAGGACCAAAGTGACATCTCTGTGTTAGAGTCAAGTCACAATGTTCCAACTGTAGCTAATCAGACTGATAATGCAAGCTCAGAATGCTCTACCACAGTTTGGGCACGAGAAGTCCCTGTGAATACTTGGGGTGGATTCTGTAAATTTGCATGTCTCGCATTTCTTTTGAGTTACTTCACTTCTACTTTGCTCACAGAGCACAGCACTTTCTTCTTTCAGGGCCATGCTGGGTGGTCCTGAGCCAGTATCTCCCATGTCATGCAATCAATTCCAGAATTCTTCAGAGAGACCTTGAGAGTGTTCTTGTATCGTTTTTTCTGACCACCATGTAAACACTTACTTTGTGTGAGCTCTCCATAAAATAGTCTTTTAGGCAAGTGTACATTTGGCATTCGAACAACGTGGCCAGCCAATGAGAGTTGAAAAATACATTTCTCACTTATATACATGTTGTAAAATCCCCAGTATAGTATAAGTTGCTTGAGAACAGAGACTTTTCATTTTTGTCTTTGCATTTGCAGTGCCTAGTAACAATGCCCTAGAACCCAGTAGCCACTTAATAAATTGCTGAATTAAGTTGAATTGGAGAGTTCATATTATTATTCTTATAGAGACAGATCAGTTCTGTAGAGACTTTTTAAAATCAGACTTGTTGTAGCTGATATATTTCCTGCAAATCTTTTTTCTTAAAACCTAGGGTTTTTTTTCTTTTAAATTTAGCCTTTTGTCTAGCACTTTTTAGTAGTACAGATATCACTTTAAATAAGACCAACCCAACTTTAACTATTTGTCCTCTTTTCTTCTTTCTTAATTACATATAAAATAAAATTTTAACATTTGTTTTTAAAATTTTTGAATTCCAAACTCTCTGTCTCCCTCCCCCCCTTGAGAAGACAAGCAATTTGATATAGATTGTACATATGAAGTCCTGAAAAACATATTTCCATGTTAGCCATGTTGCAAAAGAAAAACAGACAAAAAAAAAACCAAAACCACCCAAGAAAAATAAACTGAAAAAAGTATGCTTCAATCTGCATTCAGACTCCATCAGTTTTTTCTCTGGAGGAGAACAGCATTTTTCATCCTAAGTCCTTCAGAATTGTCTTGAATCATTGTATTGCTCAGAGTAACTAAGTCATCCACAAGTTGATCATTGTACAATATTGCTGTTATTATGTACAATGTTTTCCTGGTTCTGTTCATCTTATATTGTATCATATAAGTCTTTCCAGATTTTTCTGAAAGCATCCTGTTCATAATTTCTTATGGCACAATAGTATTGCATTACATTCATACACCACAACTTATTCAGCCATTCTCTAGTTGATGGGCATCCCCTCAATTTCCAATTCTTTGCTTCCACAAAAAGACTGCTATAAATATGTTTGTACATAAATGTCCTTTTCCCTATTCTTTGATCTTTTTGTGATACAGACCTAGTAGTGGTGTTGCTGGGCTAAAGGGTATAAACAGTTTTGAAGCCCTTTGAACATAGTTCCAAATTGCTCCCCAGAATAGTTGGATCAGTTCACAACTCTACCAAATAGTGTATTAAAGTCCCAATTTTTCCACATTCCCTCCAACATTTGTCATTTTCCTCTTCTGTCATATTAGCCAGTCTAATGGGTGTAAGGTGGTACCTAAGAGTTGTTTTAATTTGCATTTCTCTGATCAATAGTGATTTAGAGAATTTTTTAAGTATGATAATAGATAGCTTTGATTTTTTTTTTGAAAACTACCTGTTCATACCCTTTGACCACTTATAATTTGAGGAATGATTCATGTTCTTATAAATTTGATTCCATTCTCAACATATTTGAGAAATGAGGCCTTTATCAGAGAAACTTGCTATAAAAACTTTTTCCCAGTTTCCTGCTTTCCTTCTAATCTTGGTTGCATTGGTTTTGTTTGTGCAAAAACTTTTTAATTTAATGTAATCAAAATTATCCATTTTATATCTTATAATGCTCTCTATCTTATCTGGTCATAAATTCTTCCCTTATCCATAGACCTAACAGGTGAAATTTTCCTTGCTCCCCTAATTTGCTTATGATATCCACCTTTTATGTCTAAATCATGTACCTATTTTGACCTTTTCTTGGTATATGGTGTGAGAAATAATGATGATTTTATATCCTACAACTTTTGCTGAACCAACTTTAACTTTAAAATGATAGGTCATTCAATACCTTATTACTAGTAACACTTAAAGAGTGTGATTTCTCCAGTTAAATGCATGTGTTGTAGGGAAGCCTCTTTGATTAATGAATGATTGATAGATGAAGTGGCTGGAAAGCAAATGGGTTTTATCACATTGATCCTGTCCCAGTGCTTCTGTTTTCCCAAACACTACTCTAGCAGAACCAAATTGTGTGCCCCAAATTAATTAATTCCTTGACCTTTTTCCCCAAAATGTTAGGGTCTGTCAAAGATAAATATGTAAAAGAAGTCTTCATTTGCTTACAGTGTTTGCTGAATAATTGAGACTTGAGAAAACCCTTTATAGCTATATAGCTTTTTGGCCAAACTGACTTATATTCTGTGTGTGTTCCTTAGATCTACCACCTTAGTGCAGAAAACCTTTTTACCTTCCTATACTGGTACAATATTGCTTCTGCTGGACCCCATGAAGTTCATGTTGACAGATCAGTATCGTTTATAATTTGGAAGATGTCAAATGAACAAGGTCAGATTTTGGTGTCTAAATGCGGGGGGGGGGGGATGTTTTTTCTATTACCTTTGGTGCCTTTTAGAATTAAATGAATGTAGGAAAATGAAGAAAAGAGCCTCAGAATGCTTCTGTAATCATTGTATCCTAATGGCCATCTGCCCAAGTGAAAATCATCCCTGGCTGCTTGTCCGGTTCAAGCCTACCCTTCACCTCCTGTGCCCCATGCAGCTACTGTGTTGGCACAAAGTCAGCCTCTGGTGTTAATCTTTATTCTAGAACTCTTCTGTCACATGCTGTTGTCTGGGGACCGCAGAAGATCATCCTTAGTCCCTGTCTCCAGTGTTAGGTGCTCTTTCTCATACGTTGTCCCCAGAAGGAGGAGCCAGCACACTCCTTACTCCACTTGGTCATCTCAAATCTTCCCTGGGTAGCTTTTTGTCACTCAGCACCTTCTCCTTTATGGGTCACTCCAACCTTCCTGATCATTACCCACTGTGGCTGCCCTCTACCTCCAAGTCACCTTTCTTTTTCAATGAGTTCAATACCTTTGGTCTTCCTCTCCATGTCAACACAATGACGTTCATACACTTCTTCAGCTTCTATGACCTGCATCTGGGATGTGCCAGGGCTCAGTGTGAGCATTTACCCCTCAGAAATCAGTAAGCTACAAATCAGGGCTTGGTTTAATGTTTTGTGATTGTCTAGACTTATGTTAATAATTGCAGATTAAACTTAGAACTATGTTGGGCACACTTTTTTGGGGGGGTAGAGTCAGTTGTTAAACATTTGCCAGCACATCTTAACTCTACCTCAGCCACCCATGAGAACAGTCACACTTTTGATCTCACCATTAGCCTTAACTGGTACTTCTATGATTTTAAACTATAAAAACAGCCCTCTCTATTCTGTTCTCCTATGCTTCTGTCTTTCTCTCTGCCTTATTTCTTCTCCTCACTGTGACCTCTAGTCCCTCCCTCCTTCTCTGTTCTTCCAGTCTGTCACCTCTGCTCACTCCCAGTTCTCCTCCATGCTTGACTACTTCCTGTTAAGTCTCTTTTGCTGGTTCATCGTCTCTATCCCCTTAAGCATAAGTATACCACAAGACTCTGTTCTGGGCCCTCTTCTCTTTCTGTAGTGTCTCCCCTGTTGAGGTCATACAGCTGTGTGGATTGATAAGCCCCAGATCTATATATACACACCTAATCTCCTTTCTGAACTCTAGTACCACATCACCTTCACCATCTACATGCCAGATATCATTATCTGGATGTCTCAGGGGCATTCCAAACTCAACATGTCTAAAAAAACTGCTCCTCTCCCCCTTCTTCGCTAAACTTACCTTGTCTCCAAACATAGCTGTTTATTTTAAAGGCATCACCATCGTCTTAATCACTCTGGTTTGTAATCTCAGAAACATCTTTGACTCTTTTCTTCTCCTCACCCTCTGTATCCAATCAGTTGCTGAGTTTGATGTATTTGACCTTTACAACATCTTTCACATATATATGTCTACCTCTTCTCCATTCACACAGCCATTACCCTAATTCAGAGCCTCATCATTCCTTACCTTGATTATTGTGACAGCCTCTAAACTGATCTCTCCCCTCTCTAGCCCATCCTTCACATAGCTGCTAAAATAATCTTCCTAACTATGTCCAGAGGGCTGTAAAACTGTGCGTACCCCTTGACCCAGCAATAGCACTACTAGGTATATATCGCAAAGAGATCATAAAAACAGGAAAATGACTCACATGTACAAAAATATTTATAGCAGCTCTTTTTGTGGTGGCCAAGAATTGGAATTTGAGGGGATGCCCATTAATAGGGGAATGGTTAAACAAGTTGTGGTATATGAATGTAATATGCAATAAGAAATGATGAGTGGGCTGATTTCAGAAAAACCTGGAGAGACTTATGTGAACTGATGCTGAGCAGAACCAGGAGACATTGTACACAGTGACAGCAACATTGTGCGATGAACAACTTTGTTAGATTTAGTTCTTCTCAGCAATACAATGATCTAAGACAGTTCAAAAGACTCATGATGGAAAATGCCATCCACATCCAGAGAAAGAACTATGGAGTATGAATGCAGATTGAAGCATACAATTTTCTCTCTCTCTCTCTTTTTTCTTTTTTGGTTTTTTTCTTTCTCTTGGTTTTCTCCTTTTGTTCTGATTCTTTCACAATATGGCACTGCATTTGACATGATTGTGCATGTATAGCCTATATCAGATTGCTTGCCATCTTGAGGAGGGAGGGAGAAAAAAATTGGAACTCAAAATCTCATAAAAGTGAATGTTGAAAACTATATATGTAATTGGAAAAAATAAAATACTATTTAGTGGGGAAAAATAAAATAATCTTCCTAAAGCACAGATCAGACCATATAATCTCCCAGTTCAGAAGCCTTTAGTATCTCTACTACATGACCTCTAGGATAAAATACAAACCCTTCAGCTTGGAACTTCTGGGTCACTACAGCCTGGTGTCATCCATCCCTCCTTTGAAACCTTATTTCATATTATTCCTCTTCATGCACTTTATGCTCTAATCAAGCTGTGCTACTTGCTTCTCAGACTTCTCATTCTGCTTTTCACTCCTATGCATTCACACAAGTCACCCCTCATGTTTGCAATGTGAGAATCTTTGTCTTCCTCCAAGTCTCAGCTCCTGTGCCACCTCTTATGTGTATTTTTCCCTGATTTCCCCCTCTATCTCCTAGTACTCTCTTCTTCTTCCAATTACTTTTTCTTTACAAATATGCTTACTATATATAATAAAATGGAAAGTCTTTGAAGATAGAGACTACTTCATTTTTGTCTTTGATATTCAGCAATTAACCCAGTATCTTGTACATAGTAATAAAGCTTAACAAAACTTTGCTGAATTAAATTGAAAATATAAGAAAAGGAGCAAAATATAATAGCATTTTTTCTTAACCTTTAGTTAATCAGAAAATTTAATTGACCCTCAGATAACCATAAAAAAACATAGTTAATCAGAACATCCCATTCTCCAAGCAATCTAGCTAAGTAAAGTTTGGGGCTAAAATGTTTTTAGCTTTTCTGTCGCATACACTACATAAATAAATATACAGCATTGTTACAGCTGCTAACCTTTTCTCATGGATCCTAATCAACAGCCTTCGCCAGATGGACAGGTTAAAAGCCTCAAGTCATAATTAATTAAAGTCTGAGACTTGAAATCCACATCAGTGGTGATTCTTTTGGTAGATTTTACTTTCATGCTAGGCATGTAGACATAGGATTCTTCACACACCCTTCCCCCTCTCATACAGTACAATTACTCCTGTGTACTGTACTTAATTCAGAAACATCTTTATCTAGAATGGCATACTTAAATATAGGTAGCTAAGTGGTACAACAGAGTTATGGACTTGGAGGCAGAAATCCTACCTTGGTCACTAATCAGCTTTGACTCTGGGCAAGTCACCAAACCTCTGTCTGCCTGAGTTTCGTCACCTGTAAATTGAGGGTAATAATGACCCCTGCCTCCCAGGTAGGGGTGTGCTAGAGCCAGCTCCCACCAGTTAGTGAGCTGATTATTGAATATTCAGTGTGAGCGTATCACCTCAGAGATCAGCAAACGCTACAAACCAGGGCTTGATTTATTGTTTGGTTGGTGATCTAGACCTAAGAAAGTGACAGAGAAAACATTAATAATGCATGTTAAACTTAAAAGTGTGACATGTGTGACATTTCTCCTGCCAGAGAACCAGTTGAACATTTACCAGCATACCCCTGCTCATACGGTTGTCATGAGAGTGAAATTAGATAATGTATTTAAAGCATTTAGCAAATTTTAAAGTGCTATGTAAATGCTGGTTGTTGTTGTTATTACTACTACTACTGTGCTTTGTTATTATTATCATCATTATTATTGATAATTAGTGTTGTTATTATTAATGTTACGACTGTGCTCTATCATTATTATTATTATCATTAGCCAGCCTCATTAAGATGGGAACTACTCATTTGAACAAAGGTGGCTTTTCCATTTGATGACCACAGCATTATAATATCACTTACTCCTTCCAGGGAATTAGTTATACGAACACTGGGGATATGCACCCACAGGCACTGGGATATTTGGTTTTTGTCTCTGAAACTCCTGCTTCCCCTGAAGGAGTTATTGTCTCATCAGATTCCCCTTTATTCTTTTATCTCCGTGCTCTTGTAGATATAGAAACTTTCCTGGTCCCTCCTCCCTCCACTCCATCTTCTTGTTTAAAAGGAGAAACCACTGTAAACCCTTTTCAGAAATGACCTGACTCTTGCCTCTTTCTAACAGTTTCACAAGTGCTTCCTCCTGGAAGGATGGCTCCGATTCTCAGAGGCTCTCAGAGGAGCGTGCTTGTCCTCTGAGCTTGCCAGGCCAGTGTATTTCATCCTACAGCCTCACAGAAGGCAGAACACACACACCCCTCCTCCCCGCTGTTTTCAGAGCTTGGCCGGAGTGGTTCTGATGGGAGGCCAGGGCTGACCAGGGCTTTTTGTTCTCTGGTCCCCCACAGGGAGGACTTGCAAGAGTCCCAACCTGCCAGCCCTCTCTAAATAAAGGCCGGGCATGAGAAGCCAGAATTCTGCCACGGGGTCAATCGCAGAGGAGGCTTTTGTTCTTGTCTCCCCTGGCACTATAACCGGGGGAATCCCAGGGGCTCAGGAGCTGGCTGGCTTGTGCCATTCACTGTGGACACTTTTTGTCCTTAAGATCTTTTTTAGGGCCTGTTTTCAGCGAGGAAGAATAGAATGGAAGAGCTGGTCTCTCAACAGGCCATGTGGTGGCATTTGATTGTCTGCCCGTGGGCCTTTTCCCAGGAATGATCAAACACTGCCCGTGCTGCCGGGCAGGCCTGGTGTCCTGTGGGCCCTGCATGTATACACGCGTGTGTGTGTGTGTACATGCGCTCCCTCAGGCTCCACTAGGAACAAGGCCTGTGCCCCCTGGTGGTGGGGAGGGCTGGGGCCTATGCAAATATTCCCTGCCCCCGCTGCCTTCCTCTTCCTAGCTCTGAGGAAGCCACAGGGAGGTGAGGAGGGACAGAAGGAGGGACCTCTGTCCATCCAGAGCTGCCCAGGCACCTCCCAGGTGACCAGGGACCCCTCCCCACTGTCCCTGCTGTGGCCAGACAGGGCAAGGGTGGACCTCCCACATTTTCAAGGCAGCCGGCACCCTGCCGGGGGTGGGTGAGCCCACCACTGGGCCACACTGCTGTCTGGGAATGAAATAAAGCTGGGCACCCAGACCTCCTCCCTGGGGGGTGCAGGGCAGCCACTAAAGCCTTGGGGGTCCCTTCTTTCCCCAGAGAGAGCTAGAGAAGCAGAGGAGAGCCGAGAGGAACCAGCAGCTCCAGGCCAAGGCCAAAGACCATTACGAGCGGGCCCTGCTGCGGGGGAAGGGCCTGGAGCCCTGGAAGAGACTCCTGAGTCAGAGCAAGCACAACATGGAGGTGAGGGGACCCAACCCCAGCACGCACACACAGCCCCTATCTGGAGCAGGGGCCATCACAGGGCCCTATGTCGTCGGCACAGGGGCTAGGAGCTTGGATGGAGAAAAACTATGGATGGATGGATACAGAGATAGGTAGGTAGGTAGATAGATAGATAGATAGACAGACAGGTAGGTAGGTAGGGAGACACAGAGAGAGAGAGAGAGAGAGAGAGAGAGAGAGAGAGAGAGAGAGAGAGAGAGAGAGAGAGAGAGAGAGAGGAGATACAAAGATAGATAGAGACAGATAGATACAGAGATAGAGACAGACAGATAGATGATTGAAAGATACAGACAGATACAGATAGATGATAGATTGATAGAGATAGCTAGAGAGATAGAGAGATGTCAGATGATACAGAGATAGGTAGACAGACAGATAGATAAATAGAGTAGATAGATAACAAACAGACCCACAGACAGACAGACAGATGATAGATTGACAGAGACGGATACATACAGATAGGCAGGCAGATACAGACAGAGGGTTATAGATAAATGATAGAAACAGATACAGACAGATTGATATAGATAGATAGATGCTAGAGAGATAGAAAGATAGAGATAGATGATAGCTGTAGATTATGATATATATGTATGTATTTTTTCCCTCATCTAAATTCCAATCCATGTCACATAAAAAAGGATTCTGATCCAGGATATCTTTCTACATGGATCTATGTAAACTCTCGATCAGGAGAGCTTATCCTTTTTTTGTGTGTCATGGACTCCTCTGGCAGCCTGGTGAAGCATATGGAGCCCTTCTCAAAATAATATTTTTTAAAATTCAGAATTGAAGAAAATGCTAAATTTTGGTTAGAGGTTAGTGAAAATAAAAATATATCTGTGTGTGTGTGCTATACACAAATGAAGATATAGCTGTGTGTATATATACATAAGACATATATATATTATGTATATATACACACAGCTATATCTTCATTGATATATATGTATCTTTATTTGATTGAGATATATATGTATCTTTATTTGCTAACCTCTAACTGAAACTTATATATAGATATATATTTTCACTGACATCTAACTGAAATTTATATATGTAGATATATATGCATAGATATATATCTACATATATAAAGATATATCTGTGTATATATATTTCTGTTATAGAGAATTTCAGTTTTATATATATATATATATATATATATATATATATATACAGATATATAAATATGCACACACACAGAGATAAGTCTTTATTTTCACTAACATCTTACTGAAATTTAGCATTTCCTTCCATTATGAATTTTTTTTTAAAAAATATTATTCTGAGAAGGGGTCTATATGCTTCACTAGGCTGCCAAAGGAGTCCATGACACAAAAAAGGATAAGCTCTCCCAATCAAGAGTATCTTTTTTGCAAGGTAAAGAAAAGACATTATAGATATACATAAACTCATCTAAAATAGAGGCTGCTGGCATTGTTCTGATTCTTATATTGAGTTATAGATGAGCAACATGACATTCAGTGAAAAAACTAAGTTGCTCAAAATTGATTTTAAAAATTAAATGTGTAGGACTCTTTATAATAGAGGCCTGTAACATGTACCCATTTGACAAGTTTGTCCAAATTCTCATTAAAATGATTAGTCATTCAGTTGATGAGCATTTATTAAGTACCCACTATGTGCTGGGCATACAAAGAAAGGCAAAAGACAGCCGCTGCCTTTGAGGAGCTCACCATATAATGGGGAAGAAAACATTCAAACCACCATGTAAAAACAAGCTATATATAAGATAGATTGGAAATAATCAACAGAGGGAAGGCCCTAGAATTAGGAAGGATTGGGAAAGGCTTCCTGCAGAAGGTAGAATTTTAGCAGGGACTTGAAGGAGACGAGGGAGAACATTCCAGGCATGGGGGAAAGTCGGTAAAAATGTCCTGAGCAAGAGATGGAAGGTCTTATTGAAGGAATTGCTAGAAGAACATTGTTACTGGATCAAAGTATGAGAGGGTTAGGTATAAGAGGACTGAAAAGGCAGTTGGGGGAGGGTCACTCATCTAGGTCATAAAGGGCTTTGAGCATGAAACAGAGGATTTTTCTATCTGATTCTGGAGGTGATAAGGAGCCACTGGAGCTTACTGAATAGGAGGGGAGACATGGTCAGAAAAATTACTTTGGCAGCTGGAATGGGGAGAGACTTACAGGCTAGCCAACCAGCAAGCTATAGTAGCGGTATGGAGGTGAGGTGATGAGGGCCTGCTGGGAGAAGAGGATGGTAGGTATGACTGGAGAGAAGGCCATATGTGAGATATGTTGGTAAAGTAGAAATGACTAGACTTGGCAACAGATTGGATATGTGAGATGAGAGCAGGTGAAGCTAGAGGATGATACTGAGGTTGCAAATCTGGATGACTGGGAGTATTGTGATGCCTTTGACGATAATGGGAAAGTTTGGAAGAGGGAGAATTTGGAGGGAAAGATAATGAGTTCAGTTTTGGATATGTTTAGTTTAAAATGTCTATAAGACATCCAGTTTAAGCCTGGGGCAATTGACAATGCAAGACTGGAGGTCAGCTGAAAGTTTAGGGGTGGATAAATAGATTTGAGAATTATCAGCATAGAGATGATTGAATCCATGGGAGCTAATGAGATCACCAAGAGAAATAGCATAAAGAGAAAGAGGCCCAGAATAGAACCCTGAGGGATACCCTCGGTTAGCAGACATGACCTGGGTGAAGATCCATCAATGGAAAGACTGAGAAGGAGCAGTCAGATAAGCAGGAGAACCAGGAGAAAGCAGTATCACACGAAAAGAGAGTATCAAGAAGAGGGTGCTTGAGAGCATCAAAGGCTGCAGAGAGTTCAAGAAGGGAACTGAGAAAAGTCCATTGGACTTGGCAGTGGAGAGATGACTAGTGACTTTGGAGAGAGCCGTTTTGGTTGAGTGACGAGGTCAGATATCAGAGAGTTAAGAAGAGAGGGGAGGAAGTAGAGGTGCCTATTATAGATGGCCTTCTCAAGTTTTGCCACAAAAGGGAGGAGAAATATGGGATAATAGCTCATTGGGATGTATGGATAGAGTGAGGTTGGGAGAGACATGGGCATGTTTGTAGTCGGTAGAGAAGTGGCCAGTAGACAGGAAGGATTTGAACTCAGATGTCTATTCCGAGTGTAATGATTCACTGTGCCTCTAATTCTAACTGCAGATGTATGGTGCAGTAGATAGCACACTGGACTTGGAGTCAGGAAGACCTGAGTTCAAATCCTACCTCAAACATCGGCAAATCAGTTAAATTCTGTTTGCTTCAGTTTCCTTATTTGTAAAATGGGGATGATAATAATAGCATCTGCCTCTCAGGGTTTTGTGAGGATTCAATGAGACAATAATTGTAGTATGTTTTGCAAACCTTAAAATGCTATACGACTGCTGGCTATGATATTGATGATGATGATGATGATAGTTTTGTAGTATAGTTTGAGATCCAGTACTGCTAGCGCCAGTTTTCCCCATTTTTTTCCATTACTTTGAGATTTTTGACCTTTTGTTTCTCCAGGGGAATTTTGTTATTATTCTTCCTAGTTCTGTAAAGTAACCCTCAGGTAATTTGATTGGTATGGTGTTGGATCCCTAAACCAAATTAGGTACTATTGTCATTTTTATTCCATTGGCACAGCCCAACCATGAGCAATTAATATTTTTCCAATTATTTAAATCTTTCTTTTTTCTGCAAAGAAGGTTATGTTGTTGTATTTGTAGAATTCTACTGTATACCTTGAAAGATATTTAAGAGAATTTCCTTTTCTTTCTCTTTCTAGTGGATTTTATTATGTTTAATATGCAGGAAAGCTGGTTGTAATTTACTTTTAAAACACTTATCCTATCTTTCTAGCCTGGTCAGATCTTTTGGGATCCTGAGTCTTTCATCTATGTTAGCTATCTCTTCTAGCCAGAGAGTATCTGGAAATATAAATCTCTGGATTTGTTATTCTCTGATTTATTCAGGTGCAACTTCATTTTGCCTTCTCGTATCAATATTGATATGATTCAGTTCCTTCAGTAGTAAAAGATCTCACATTTAGATTGCTAAGCATTGAGTTATTGTTTGCAGACAGCCTAATATCCTCTTCAAATGGCTCTCTATGGCTATTCTGTGTCATTCTGAGCCCCACATATTAGGAAAGACATTCATTGATAAAACACATGGTGAAGGGTCTTGAGATCATGCCACAAGCCCTAGCCAAAGGAACTGGAGATATTTTTTGGCCTGGGGATAGCTGTCCTCAGTTATTTTAAGGGCCCTCACATGGAAGACAATTGGACTTCTTCAGTTTGGTTCTGAGGGTAGAACCAGGTGGAAGTTGCCAAGAGGAAGATTTAGGTTTGACTGTTTAAAGGGAAAAAATCCTAAAAGTGAAGATCTGTCCAAAAGTACAATGGACTACTTGAGGAATTTGTGGTCTTCTAGCCATTAGAGGTCATCAGTCTGTAAGTAGCATGTGGATTGTGTAGAATGGAGAATGTGACAGAACCATCTATCTGGCTGCTCAAGTTTCTCCCAACTCTAAAACTGTCATTTCAGTAATAACATTTAAATTACAAAGTGTATAGATGGATATTTGGCTCTTTTTTCAATTATGTCATTGTCAAGTAATCAATGAATAAGGATTTATTAATAACCTTTTGTATTCCAGGAACTGAGCTAGCTGCTAAGAGTATAAATACAAAGAATGATGCAGTCTCAATATTCAGTGAACTTACATTGTGATGGGGGAGACCATAAGCCGAAATTAAAATAGATATAGCATAAAGTTGATAAATATGCACATAAAGATAGTCATTAAACACAATGTTGTTTGGGATGGAAGGCACTAGCAGTAGGAGGTGGAGTGTGGGAGGTGGTAGGGAGATCAGGGAAAACTTCACGCAGAAGATCATGCCTGAACTGCACCTCAAAGGAAAAGAAGAGCTCTAGAAGGTGGAGGTAAGGTATATAAGTACATAGGAAAAGTGAATTCATTTGGAGTTGATGCCTCCAGAGAAGGAGACCCAGATAGTGCCAGCCACTTATACCCAAAGCTTCATTCATTCAAAGAGTATAGTTGGTAGCTACTTAGTCAGTAGCCTTAATAACCAGACTTTTGGGACAACAAATCCCAGTGCACCCCTCCCCCACCGCCTCTGCCCTTTATTAGACTGTAAGCTCCTTGAGGGCAGAATGTCATTTTTTAAATTTTTTTGTCACCAGCATCCATCACAATATCTTGCATATAATAGATTTTAATAAATGTTTGTTGATTTGAATTGGCATTTAAAGATCATGATGTAATTCTTAACTGTTTAAAAAAAATAGGGCGAAGGAAGCTCTTTGATTACCACATGAATTAATTTTAAGATTAATCCCGCTAGCATCTTTACAAACAGAATGGAGTTGTGGAGGATCTTGCAAAGACAGTGTGTTTCTAAAAACAACTTCCTTTTCTTTTTTCCAAAATTGTCCAGGTGGCAGAAAATCATTATTGCTCCACAATTCAGAGGAAATACCTACTGACCTGGTTCCATTATAACCAAGAAAGCCTGGCCAAGAAGAAGGCCCAGGCAGATAAACTTTACTCCCAGATACTGCTTAAGAGAGCCTTTAGGAGCTGGTTAGAGGTAAGGCCAAAAGCAAAAGGCACTAGAAATACATCAAATGGCTGATTGCTGTTCAATGAAATGAAAAGCAAATAGAATCTAGATTGTCTCCAGTTCATCGTGTTCTGGGAATTTTTCACAGATAGAGCTGATTCAGACAATTCAGGCAGACAACATCCCAGCCAAATATACCAACTTGAGGATAATATTCTTTTTGTGTAAAAAAAATTGAAATCCTCCTTACTAATTAAGGTTGCCTTAAAAGTCTCATCAGTTCAGGCCTCATTCATAGGTCATTTCTGTTTCTCATTCCATATCTGTGAAAACATCCTTATTGTAATCTGTTCCTGTTATCTTTGTATGTAGCTATTCTATTATTCTGGCTTTTAAAGGCTTTATGTGTTCTCATGCTCTCTAGGCTTCCTGAGCTTTTGTATATGTCTTCCTCTCTGGACATCCACTCTTATTTTCTCTAATTCTTTATCCACTGCATTTGTTTTTCTCATTACTATTCCTGACATCTCTCTCTAGTACAAGGATTGTACTGGAAGAGACAGTTCTTTCATGCAGGGCTTCCCTGTACCAGTGATTCTCAAACTTTTCAGTCTCAGGACCCCTTTATACTCTTAAATTGTTGAGATCCACCACTTTCCCCCCAGTGGGTAGGAGGTGTTCAGGGGGACCACTTGTATATGTGGTTTGTATGTGTTGATATTTACCATGCTGGGGCAGCTAGGTGGTACAATGGAAAGAGCACCAGGTCTGGAGTTAGGAAGAGCTGAGTTCAAAATCTGACCTTAGGCATTTACTAGTGGTGTTACCAAAGGCAAGTCACTTAAGTTTGCCTCAGTTTTCTCATCTATCAGATGACCTGGAGAAGGAAATGGAAAACCACACCAGTATCTTTTCCAAGAAAACTCCAAATGGGGAAATGAAGAGTTGGACATGACTGAAAATGACTGAACAGCAATTTATAACAGTAGAAATTAAAATGTTTTAGTATTTTTATAAAAATAATTTTAATCTTGTGCCCCCCACCCCTGAAAGGGTCTTAGGGACCCTTCGAGTCCCCAGACCATGCTTTGAGAACTGCTGTCCTGTACTAATGAAGGGTTGACATCTTCTCCATGGATTCTTCTTCTTTTTTTTTTTTTTTTTGGTGAGGCAATCGGGGTTAAGTGACTTGCCCAAGGTCACACAGCTAGTAAGTATTGAGTGTCTGAAGCCAGATTTGAACTCAGGTCCTCCTTATTCCAAGGCTGGAGCTCTATCCACTGCACTACCTAGCTGCCCCTCAATCTGTTCTTGCCCTCAAGGAGCTTACATTCTGTTTTTGTTTTTGTTTTTTTGGGGGTTTTTTGGCAATTGGGGTTAAGTGACTTTGCCCAGGGTCACACAGCTAGTGTCAAGTGTTTGGTCTGAAGCCAGATTTGAACTCAGGTCCTCCTGACTTCAGGGTCGGTGTTGTATCCACTGTGCCACCTAGCTGCCCCGACATCTTCTCCCAAATTTATAGTCTTAAAGAGTTGTCTAAAGCAACAAGAGGTTAGATCACATTTCTTACTGCTATTCTTCTCTCCTCTTTCTAGTACAAGGATTCTCTAACTATTGCAGAAGAAAAAGCAAGAAAATTTAATGCTGCATTTCTTCAGAAGAACATTTTTATGTCGTGGCTTAATATGGTCCGTGAGGAAAAGATTGATGCTCAGAAGAAGCTTCAGATCGCCATCAGGCATAGTGACAGGTAAGCCTGTTCAGCGTTCTAGAAACAGTCAGCAACCTTGCACCTTGCTATACAGATTACAATGTACACCACTGATTGGGTGAGCAGAACGAGGAACTAGAGGATCAGGGTAACTATCCCAAGAGGAGGTGTCAGGAGACTTTGGTCTTAGACCTTAGACTTTACCATTTTGGGCCCATTTTCCCATCTGCAAAATGGATTTCTTATCTACTCCACAGAAGATAGTGGTAAGATAACATGAGCTGACATAAATGAAAAAGGAAGAAGCTTATAGAAGTATAAGCAGGTGCTATTAATTATTATTGTTGCTGTTATATTACTGCTTATTACAAAGAAACTCCTTTATCCTACATCATCAGGTAATGAGAGGAAATGTGGAACCATGGATAAACAGAGGGCCTTGGAGCCAGGAAGACCCAGGCTCAAGCCCTGCCTGTTAACACCTAGTGGCTTTGTGACCCTGGGCAAGCCACCTAACCTCCCCGTGCTCTCCATCAGTCATAAACACTTATTAAGCACCTGCTATGTGCCAGGCAGAGAAAGTGCTGACCTGTACTGGGAAAGGGACTCTCCTTACCTAGGAGTTCCTTATACCAGTGAAATCACAGGTCTTGTCCCTGTCCCATCATGGAGGAAGTAAATTCTTTGGAACTGAAGCCTGCCCTTTTAAATGTCAAAACTTTTATTTGAACTATCTGTGATGAAAACCATTATTAAGTGGAGTAAACATTTCCTGGCCGCTTTATACAGATGATTCTGAACATAATTTTACTCTTCCTAGATAACTCAGGATCAGCATTATGAACATTAATTATTTTACTGTACTTTAACACCTGTTTCTGGGCAAAAGAAGGCAAAAGCTCATCTATGAGAGCCAGGGGTCCCCAGGACACAGTCAGACCTGCCTGTGGGGGGAGGAGGAGGCAAAGGTGAGGATGATGGCTGGAGTGCAGGCCATGTGAAGAGGGGACAGCTTCTTCCCCTTTGTAGTTTCTAATTTGTTTTGGGCTGGGAAACCAAGGAACCAGCTATATGTTAAAAAAGAATAAGTAGACTTTTGGACATCTATTTTAGCTATTTCAGAAACTTTTTTCTTCCTTCTAGTTGGGGGAGAGCAGCCTTCTAGAGATAATGAGATTACCAGATAAATGTCCTTTGAGATGTTCACTATAGCAATCATATAGTTCATTACAGCATGCTTTGTCTAAACATCCTAAGACCATTTTTCTGTGAAAATGTTTGCTTACACCAAATTGGAAAGTTGATGGAAAATATCCCTTTGACCCATCACCAAAGTTCTCTTCTCTGGTTTCTCTCCCAACCCCATCTCCTCAGCATACCAGAGTGAAAAATGCCCTGGATTAGGATTCAGGAGGCCTAGACTATAGTCCTGTGACTTTGGACGGGAAGGTTCTCCACCTTTCTGGCCTCACTTCCCTCTCACTTGCCAAATGATGGGATTGGATGCTGTCATCTCCAGCGTTTTGTGACTGCTCCTCAGGGCTCCCATCCACACTCCTGTGCACCCTGGAGTGTAGCCTCCCGAGTGTTTCGGAGCCTCCTTCTAGATCTTCAGCATTTGTGGGGATGGGTTCAGCAGGGACATCCATTTGGTCTGTAAGAGAAGCAGCCTGAAGGGCTTGGGAGGCACTAACTCAGGACGGGTATGGGCTTTCAGAAGGAGTGCCATTTGCAATCCTGCAGCTTTAATACCTGTGTAGGTTTATTACACCTAAAAGAAGGGTTTTCAATTAACAAAATAATAATATTGACATTCTGTGGTGCTTCGTTATTCTATTCTACAGAGGCGGCTGATAATCTCAGTCCCCCCAGACTTGTTGCAGTAGAACGATGTGGCATAGTAGAAGCTCTTGTCCTTGGGCTTGGGCTTTAAGTTGCAAGAATGTGCAGAAAAACAGTTTGATAACACTATGGAGCTTCATGTTATTTATCTATATCTTCCAGATCATTGTATAAATCTTTTATTTTTCCATGCTGAGACTAAAGCCAGAAGAACATTTCTCTCTCATAGTATCAACACCATTATTTTGAAGTTCTGTAATCAGAACTCAAGCTCCAGTCTGACTCTGCTCAGTTGTACTTATTCCACATTAATTTGGCTAGTAAAATAAAACATAGACATTAATATAGGGTAATTTTTATAACACTGCTTTTCTAACCAGAAACACACTCTCTTTTTTTTTCTTTTTTTTTGTTAGGCAGTTGGGTTAAGTGACTTGCCCAGGGTCACACAGCTAGTAAGTGTTAGGTGTCTGAGGGCAGATTTGAACTCAGGTCCTCCTGAATCCAGGGCCGGTACTCTATCCACTGCGCCACCTAGCTGCCCCGAGAAACACATTCTCTAATAGAAATAAGTATATCTCATTTAATGTAAGGCACTGTTTTTAGGCATTGTAGAGGGAATAAAAGGGTTGCTCCCAACCCTCTAAGAGCTCAAAGTTTCATTAGAGAAGATGTATAGCATAACTGTACATATGTCCAGTTAAATAGCAGTCCAGGACTGAATGCCAAATGAGTATTATTGAGAGTAAGTGCGTCATGCTTTCAGAGAAGGAAAAAAATCACTTCCATCTAAAGTAGTCAAGGTAGGCTTAATGGAGATGCTATTAAAAAATAAGTAGAATTCCCTTAAGTCGAGAGGAGAAAGGAGGGTTATTCCTGGCAGGGAGAAATGGTGTCGACACATATATGTGGAGGCAGCCAAACACCAAGTTTGTCTGAGGTTCAGTGAGAACACTACTTTGCTGGAGTGAAGGGATTATATGGGGGAGCGATGCAAGATGAGGTTGGGAAGGGACATGTTGTGGCAGGCCTTAAATGCCCACACAGGGTGTTGGACTTTGTCCTGTAAGCATTAGGCAACCAGGAAAGGTTTGGAGGAGGAGTCTGATCAGGTGGTGCTAGTGAGTAGGAGGTGTTCAGTGTGGCCACTTAAATTATTGCAACAATCTGGATGCAAATGCAAAGGGAAGGTTATGGCAGTGTTTTCTCTGGCAGAAACAGAGGAGAGATATAAAAGATTTGACAGGACTTGGTAACAGTGAATATGGCAGGATGAGGCAGACAGAAAGAAATTCTGACTGAGCTTTAGAACTGGGGTGTTTAATTAAGTCAGGGTACCATTAGCAGAAATAAAAAAAAGTCAGGAAGGAGATGTGTTGAGTTTTGTACCTAGCCCAGAATAGGAACCATGTACATATGCCTCATCTTCTGTCCTAGATTTTAAGCTCCTAGCGGTAGGAGACTGTCATTTTAAATTTTTATTTAAATATTCTACATTTTTTTTATTGGTTCTGTGATTTCATCAGCTAAGAAAATTCCCTGAGTGGAAACTCCCCTCACCACTGCAGATAAGCCCTTGCTCTGCAGTTTACTGTGGAGAGTTAGAGAATTGCCTGAGGGACAGGAACAGGTGGGGGCACTCAACCAAAAAAAAAAAACAACAACATTTATTAAGCACCAGGCACTTTGCTAAGGAGCTAGGGATACAAAAAATGGGCAAAAGACATTTTAATAAAGGAGAGAATAAGCAAACAGGAATCAAAAAAACAAAAAACTGAAACCCTCAAAGAGACTGAGTTCAAGGCTAATTGCAGATAATTAACTAGAGACCAACTTCACCATATGCAGTTTTTCTGGCTTTGTCCCACCATTTTTTACAGATTTCCTGGAAATTCACTTCTTCAAATTGAAATTCAATTCCTTTAAAAAAAAGAAAAGAAATTCAGTTCCTTTTTCACACCCTTTGTAAGTGACATAGGGAGGACTATGGGCGATAAGGACACTCGGCCCAATGCAGTGAAAAAAACATTGGAATTGAAGTTCAGTCATCTCACCTCCCTACTCAACACACTCCAGTGGCTTCCTGTTTTTTCCAGGAATAAATCCAAAATGTCCTTCATGACCTAGCCCCCTCTTACCTTTCCAGTCTTCTCACACCTTACTCCCTGGCATGGATTCTTCAGGCAAGTGGCCCTGGCTTCCTAGCTGTTTCACAAACAAGACACTCCATCTCTTGGCTCCAGGCATTTTCTCTGACTGTCCCCACCTGAAACTCTCTCCCTTCTCTGCTCCAACTACCAACTCTCTGACATCCTTTAAATCCCAATTAAAATTCCTTCTTTTACCGGGAGCCTTCCCCAACACTTCTTGATTTCTTCCCTCTGTTATTTCCTTTTTTATCCTGTATATGGCTTTTTGGTTATATGTTTGTTTGCATGTTGTCTTCTTCATTAGGTTATAAGCTCCTTGAGGGCAGGGACTGTGTTTTGACTCTTTTTGTTAGCCACAGGCTCTTAATAAAAATGTTGATTGATTGGAGGCACACAGTCTGGGTACCAGCTTTGCCACTTAGTACTTTGTGACTTGGGCAAGGTTCTCAGCCTCAGTGTACTTATCTACAAAATGAAGGAACTGGAGCCTTAAATCTGTGACACCTACAAAGAGAGAGAAGAATGAGAGGAGCAAGGGAGGAGGAGGAAAAAGGTATAACATTAGAAGAAAGAAGCATAAAAGAGCAAAGAGAACCTTTTCTTTTTCTAAATCCTCTACTTTGTGTCAGTTAGCTTTGAGGTGAGTGGACTTGCTGGTTCAAGATCAGAGATGCTTGAATAATTGTGGCTTGGTCCTATAGTGATGGGCCTTTTCTGACATTTTTGAACTCATGGTTCCAGAATTTAACCAAGAACTAAAAAAAAAAATCTTTTTGATTATGTACTTAATAAACATCAACAACACAAGCATTTCAATATATAAAGAAAAAAGGAGTATTTTGTATGAAACTTCACATTTCTGTTATCTAGTTTGTTTTTTCCACTAGGTATATCTTAGGGGTTTTGTTTTTTGTTTTTATAAATGCAGTTTAACATGGTGGTCCCAGCTTTGACTTGCTTCTTGGGTCCTGTTTTGAACTATCTCCAGCTCTCTTCTGTGTATTTTTATAATGTTTCATTGTCACTTTTTTCTTTCTTTTTTTAGTA